CAATCTGTTCTTGATTCTGATCAGTTGTTTTCAATCTGTTCTTGATTTTGATCAGTTGTTTTCATTCTGTTCTGGATTTTCATCGTTTTCACTCTGGTTTCATTCCATAACTCTAGTTTAACTTTGTTTTCACTCTGGTTTCATGAATTCTTGTGAATAGCATCACAAGAAAACGGCGCAGCCAGATAACAACCTGACTTGTGTATAATTGTATCTAGATGGGTGATATTATGCTAATGAACAATGATTATTTGTTAAACTAAATGGGAACCTGACAATCAGAAATGTTTCACATTACTACTTCGATGTAGCAGGTGGCTGCTTTTGTCCTTCCTGCTCTGCTCTCTGTGTGTCTCAAGTGCCTGGTTCACATCTGAACGTAAATTAAGATTATGGATCTGGTATCGTGGGCGTTCAGCTCTATTGATAAGATTTTTTCAACAAAGCAACAATGTCCTGGAGAACCTGCGTGTCCAGCTGAGACGCACGCTGTGTGGTACGTCATGGACCCGTGGGGAGTGTGGCAGTTGATGTGTCTCGCAGTTCTGTCTCAGGCGGACGCTGAAGACGTTTCCATATTTGGATTTATGATAGCAGGTGCTCTGCTTTATCAACTATTGAAGACATCGGCAGCAGTTTCGGCCATGACAAAGCTTCCGAGTCCATGTGAAGGTTTGGTCCATGCTGTAGGAACTCTAAATCATCTGGTTTACGAGCTAAACCGTAAGGTGGAGGCGATTTATGAGAATCGTAGGCCACTTGCGCCTTCTGGGACTCGTCAGCGCGGTGGGTTCGACCTTGAGGGAGCCTCATAGTGGATCAGTGGAATGGATTCTCACAATTAGGCCATTTTGAAACCAGAACGTCCAGAATGGACTCAAGGCTGAAGAAAACAAAATCTGTCTGCCTGAAGAAACTCAACAATCAAAGATTATCTGAATCTGACTCCCGACGGCCTCGGAACGGGCCGACTATCAAATTTCACCTCGATCTTTCTTTGTAATTCATGTTTCTCCCTCTTTTCCTATCTAAGATTATTATTCTGAGAAAGGATAAGGGAGGCCGCGCTTTGAGCAGCAGCTCCGTGCACTCCGTCCATGCTCCGGACGACTGCATGTACACGTTCTCGTTGTATCTCGGTGCAATGATAATAAAGCTTATTCTGATTCAGATTGATAAATTTGTTTTACTTACATCATCTTTCTTTTTTTTGGATTTGCTTTCATCTCCATCTGCGTCTCCGCCCTTCCTTTTTCCTTCGTGCGCCGTTTTCTGGTTCTGCAGATATTCTGCGATCAGATCCGGACAGTCTAAGTTTTCCTCTGGTTCCCAGGTATTATCTTCACTGCAGAACCAAGAACGGTGAAAATTAGCTATTTATCGTTACATTCGACACCAATTCTTTTGTTCTTCCTCGTCTAAAAGAGTGAGTGCAATGATGGAGATCAAAACCTCTTTAAATGTTTTATTAAATTCACAATATAAAGTTGTGTTTTTCTAAGTTTTCTGGGCGTTAGTCTGCGTTCAGTTTGCCGTGCATGCTGCTGTGGAACCATCCGGCTGCCGAGTGTAAAACCCTCTCAAAGGGTTCCAGTTTGTTTGGGGTAGAGCTGGTTTTAAGGACAATAAAACTGTTTCGTTTGTTTTTATTTACAGACAAGCACCAAAAAAAAAAGCCATATTATCAACTAAAGTACCAGAAACTGTAACAGTGTAATCAGAGTTCCTGTAGAAGTCTTGCAGGGAAACGATTTGAAATAGAAAAATACGTTCATACATCTTTACGTGTATTTTTATTTTTGTCATTTTCAGGATGAAACAGGATCACTGGCCCTGAATACGCACAAAAACACCCCGAGAACCTGCAACTAGGACCTTGAAAAGATTTGCACAAAGACAGTGCAGCGCAGTTTGAGAGTCTGTGGATTCTTTCGGTGCGAACTCTGGAACTGCTGTGGAAACTTTATTAAACTCCAAGAACATAACAGAGAAAAGGAGAGCGGTCAAGTTTCTCAGTACGTCCAATAAAACCTGCTGCAAGCGGCCATGTTGCTGGAAAAGTTGTTATATTTTCACAAGACACCAAAAGATGCGTATTTGTAGAAAAAAGGAGCTTCGTGTTTCTTATTTAAGATCCGACAGGCGCCAGAAGAATTTTAAATCGTTCTTGAAATACTCACTTAGAAAAGCCTTTCCACTTGAGCAGGTATTCTACCTTGCCTTTCACCACCCGCCGGTTCAGCACCTTTTCCACCACATACTCTTCCTCCTCCTCTTCCTCTGCAACATCATCTGGTTTCTTTTCCTTCTTCTCTGCTGGAGTCACTTTAGCCTCTGTCGGTTATAAACGTTAATAAACAACAAGATTAGAAGAATTAACGCTGATTTCCTTTCTGCAGATTGAAAAGGAAAACTTCAGATTTACACACGTGCAAAAATGTGTTTGTTTGTTCAATAAACAAAACCCCATGAACGTCACTGAAATCACTTTTTATGAGACGTCTGCACCTGTCCTCGGGTGTTCTGGTCCACCTGTCCTCGGGTGTTCTGGT